CCCCCCTCCTACACAAGTCTAACCCCCCTCCCCTCCCCCAGATCCATTTCTTAAAAAATCAGTTTTCTTGCATGCTGGGACATACCGATTCCCTCTTGGTTCCTCAGTTGGTGTACTTGGTCCTGAAGCAGGTCCTGATCCACCACTACTGCCACGTGACCATGCTCCATAGCCACGCCCTCCTGGGCCAAGTGAGATGTTCTCTGTGTCTACATTTGTGCGCTATTAGATAACATATTTAATATTAGTATAATGAAGAAAATCGGCAAGGAAACTAGTCAGAGTTGAGCGTCGTTATGGCTACCCATTGTTACATGATAGAATATCGATATTCCTGCAATAAGGCACTAGTTGTAAACTGGTTTTGAGTGAAACACCATGGAATATCTTATCAGTCACTTGTACTTTCTAGTTTAAAGGGGGACTAGTACAAAAATTGCCTGAAATATAATATAACTGAAACTTTAACTAGAATGATGTAATTATTCTTTAACTTAAGTGGCAAGTAGGATACTCCATGCTGTGTCATGAGAAAGCATTGTATTACTATTTTGTTCCACACCATTAACAATGTAAATTAAAACGAGTCGTTATTTCAATGTTAAGTATCTTTATACTGCATGTATACACTCAATTGAAGAATCGTTGTCGGGTTCAGAAACATAGAACATAAAAGCTGAGACCGAAATGGCACATGGGAAGTACGTTAATTAGATGCATGTTGTGACCGGCGACCCGTGGCATCATCCACTGTTTTTAATACGCGTTTGACATTCTAAACCGACTGCATGGATGGTGCAAATGAATAAATTATAATATGATTATGTCATTTCCCATGTGCCATTTCGGTCTCAGCTCTTATGTTCTATGTTTCTGAACCCGACAACGATTCTTCAATTGAGTGTATCATGCTAACAAGTAAAAATCAATGTGTGAGTTGAGCGTTGTGTGCAGAGGATATCAAATGTAGTGGTAGTGTGAGGGAAACATGCCCCCAAATAGAGCGTTTTCACGTGACGTCACAGCGGCCATTATGGGGTACCAAAACAATACATTTTCTATCCTCCATGAATTGAACTCTATCTTTATGCAAATACTGTGCAGAAAGTTTCTATTGTTTATGGCTGCCTTTTCACGTGAGTGAAAACGCTCTATAGTGCAGAACTGCATGAGACTTGCAGCGATTTATTTTCATTTTATTTTTTACTCACCTTCTTCACATCCTGGAACTTCTTTGGATCCACACTTACATTCCTCTGTCTTCCTGGTACAGTTGTCCATGTTTCTTCATTAACAGATCGGGGACTATCACGACCTACCAAAAGACAAAGCATTGGATTGAGTGATTTCCTATACTAATCTGAATAGTTGAAGAATAAAAAAGGATATTACTCAAAACATTAAAATCCAACCTTTTCCTGGATTGTCCCGTTTGTTAGGCGGCATTTTTGTGTTTTGGATTAATAGCATCACTTTTCTTTCCTCTTCAGCTGCTTCTTTGTGAATTTGATCAATAGTCTTTGGATTGTTGTCATCTCGTCGAGGTACCCAGTTACTGGCTCGCAGCTCAATCACATCCTGTAGCATGAATCGACATCTTGAAGACGTCTTTTTCATTTCGATTATTTTTTTCATTTGTTCAAAGTATTGGTCCATTCTTGGCTGCAAAAAATATAAACAAATTAATAAATTAATAATAATAATAATAATAGTAGTAATAATAATAATAATGGAAACTTTATTCTTTTCTTGAATACAGTTGTAAATTTCTCTTTTATAATAATCATCATCATAATCATCATCATAATCATCATCATAACCATCATCACCATCTGTTTGTACATTTAAGGCATTAGGATACGTTTACGACCACTATGCGCGCAAACTTAAATAACGTGCTGGCTTTATAGTATAACACAAACAAAGTATACATTTTCTGAAAGCTGAGTAAATATAGTTTATGAAGAAATTTTCAAAATACGATTTTTTTTTGTTGTTGTTAACATTATTGTCCTCGAAGCAAAATTTGACCATACCTCAGTGAAAACGTTAACAGACACGTACATTTTAAGCTATGTTTGCGAAAAATGTCTTAACATACTCAGGAGATAATAAGCTCCAAAAGGGTGTCCCAGATTTTTGATATCTGTTTTCTATCTCTCGCTCTTTTTGATCAAAGTTCAGCGATCGCTTTTGGAGTGTTGTTTAGAGTAAAAAGCGTCATAACTTTGGAAAGAAATTAAATTTCAAAATTCGGAGACACCCTTTTTTGGATCATGAGTTACTTTATAAACTCTCCAAATTTTAGAAAAATTGAATGAAATCCAAGGGCCTTTTAGCTTTTTGAAGTTGAGGTTTAAGCGGAAAAAAAGATTCGAGAAAAACGCATTTCTTTGTTTGGAGCCGGAAGCTGCAGGGAGCCACGATGGTGTTGGCCAAAACACCTTGTGCCTTCCATTTTGTCATCACTTGTCAAATTATCTGGTGTTCTGGATGATCGCAATGTAGGATCTTTTTACAATGACAAAGGAGCATGACAGATGTGCATATATTGAGCGACGGTACATTTCCGGTCTTGATAAAGTCATGATTTCGATTTTTCTCAAAATTTTGGCTTTTCCAATCAAAAATTGCAAGAAATTTCACAAACATATGAAAGATAAAAGTTTAAAATTACGAAATTAAAAAGAAAAATTTTTTCCGGGCAATTCGTCATTTTTCGTATCCTAATACCTTAAAACCTTTTTTTTGTGATTATAAATAGTGCTTAGAGGATTGGTTTTCAGATTGGTCATTCATTCATTTGGCGATTCTTAAGTAATTCTTTCACATAGTCGGTCATGTTCATCTGTCAATCAGCCACTCAGTCTGTCAATCAGTCAGTCGTTCAGTCAGTCACTGAGTAATCCAGTCAGTAAGGCAGTCAGTCATTTATCACAGTCAAACATCCAGTCAGTCAACCAGCCAGACAGCCAGACTCTGAAAAATCCAACCCCTCGAACACCAAGCTCATTTGCACAGAATGTTAATTTTCTCTTTTCAGTTCAGTACTAGCTGAAAACTGATTAAAACATTTCTCCAAGATAATAATTCTAAAAAACTCTAAAAACTCTATTATTGAGCTAAATAGTCAGACATTCTGCCAATTCAAGATGACAAATATTTAATAATACCTTAGCCTTTTGATGATCAAGATCCTTCCCAATAGTTGACAGGAGCTTGCAAAGACACTCGTATGATTCTTCATCATTACTTTTGAGCAGCTTAATGATACAGTCATGCATGATACTTTCTGTAAGCATCTAAAAACAAAATGAAATTGTATGTTTAATCAGTTCAATGTAAATATTCCCCTTAATGACATACTCTGTGAGTTAGCAGTGTCCTGACTTAGATCAGCTGAGAGGCCTTTTCAGGGTTTGATCTGTGAGTTAGCCATGCCCTAACTTAGATCAGCCCAGAGGTTGTTTCAGGGTTTGATCTGTGAGTTAGCCATGCCCTGACTTAGATCAGCCCAGAGGTTGTTTCAGGGTTTTATCTGTGAGTTAGCCGTGCCCTGACGTACATCAGCGCAGAGGTTGTTTTAGGGTTTGATCTGTGAGTTAGCCATGCCCTGACTTAGATCAGCCCAGAGGTTTTTTCAGGGTTCAATCTAAGAGTTAGCCATGCCCTGACGTACATCAGCCCAGAGGTTGTTTCAGGGTTCAATCTGTGAGTTAGCAGTGTCCTGACGTAGGTTAGCCCAGAGGTTGTTTCAGGGTTCAATCTGTGAGTTAGCAGTGTCCTGACTTAGGTTAGCCCAGAGGTTGTTTCAGGGTTCAATCTGTGACTTAGCTGTGCCCTGACTTTGATCACCCAGAGGTTGTTTCAGGGTTCAATCTTTGAGTTAGCCATGCCCTGACTTAGATCATCCCAGAGGTTGTTTCAGGACTTAATAAAAGGTTTGTCTTATTTGATTGAACTCCATACCTTGAGTTTAAATAACTCTCCAATAAATCTAATGTTTCCAAGAGTTCTTCTTCTTCCTTTCTGTTCCTCTAGTGCTAATTCATCTTTTTTTAGTTTCAACTCTTCTTCCTGAATTGAAAAAAATGTCCAAGGATTGATATACATGCAAGATATAAAGTAATATCATAATGGTGGAATTCATAAAATTTGAACTGCAAATGTTCTAAGTAGTGCAGAGGGAAATTACAGCATCTATATCCATTTCAATAAATGTTGTCATCGCCAAAGGCGATAGGCAATAGGTGCAAGGCAATAAGAGATGTCATTGCAAAATCCAAAAATAGCTGGAATGACTTGTATTTATGCTTCTTATTCTCGTCAAGGACATGGACCTTAGTGCTGAGCCTGATTTGATGTTCTTTGTATTCAACGAAACCATTTCCATGTCAGAAAGACCTATCACCTATCACCTTTGGCGATGACAACGTTTATTGAAATAGGTGTATGTGTATATCATGGTTCCAACTCACTTAGTAAAACAAAATTCCCATACTTTTTCCTGAACAAATCCCACATTTTACTGACTTTAGCAAACACAAGTTTAGAACCATTTATACTCAAACGTTGTGATTCCAGATTGTCACACTCTTCTGAACTTCCACAAAATACTAAAAAGGTTGTATTTTGAGTTGTATCCATATTCATGTGCTCATATTCTTAAGAAATGATTATAGGAAATAACACAGGGTCTGTCAAGGGGAAACATTTCATTATCACGAATAAGTTCTATTTTTGACAATTTTGCAGGAAAAAATTGTTGTAGTGAGACGCAATGCCCTCTTCAATTTTATCTTGAAATGCCACAAAACGAAATGATAAGTTCCCTAAGGAAGCATCAAAATCACAGCTGAAACCATAGTAACAGAGAATTAGGAAATAGATACTTACTGATAACCCTTCCTTTAAAAGCTCCTCCATTTTTTTGTGAATATCCATTTCGTCAGATTTTTCTTTCTCAAATTCTTTCTGACATTTGTTCAACAGGATTTTACGGAATGTTATAGTTGTGTCTTTGCCATCCTTGGTTTCTACTTTTACATTGGTCTGAAACATTAAAACAATAAATAACAGTTATCAAACTCATTAATAATTCATGAGGAAAACACAACAGAAATCACGAAAGTGAAGAGTTCTGTAAATCAGATACAGAATTGTGTTCATTTGCATAAACTTTAACTTGGATTTTCTTGGGCAGATTCAATTTAATTTTGGAAATGTTAGTGAAACACAAAGGAACTAACCTAGATGTTTGATAAGCAATCTACAGTATTTGTGTCCGTGTCGTATCCGATATACAAACTCTCGGCTACGCCTCAAGCTCGTATATCGGATAAAACACGGCCACTCATACTGTATATATTACTTATAAATCATTATAAATAACTGCTCTAAATCTCACGTACTGATTGGTTGGGAGGGTATGCTTTATGAGTGCACACAGCAAACGTGCACACTTTCAGTCTTGTCATTCATGTAATTTGCACTTTAAGAAATAAAAAACTTGTTGTGCTGTGTGGAGTCATAAAGCACTTGGGGATTGACAGAACTCTCGGGAAGTGTCAAGAAGCACTCTGCTACGCGCCGTGCCTCTCCTAACACTTCTCTCAAAATGGGAGCATTGTAGGTATTTATAAATAGAAATATACTCACAGGCACAAGACATCTACACATGTTAGCGTATGCTACGCTAAAACTGGGTTCACTTATAGCCTGTGAAAGACAAGAAATTTTATCATCCACACATTTTCATATACTTTTTAACTAGTTTATGCATTTAATTATTTTATCACCATTATCATCACCATCATCCTTATCAATACTATTAGCATCTTTACCGTTAGATTCATCTCGAATGATGAAAGCAAGAATCCAAAAATAAAGTCACTAATGACCTCTAAGTGTTCACGCTTGAGGTGGTTTGACTGTAACACCATCATCATCATCAGCTCCACCATTTTCTTCATTAGCATCAGCATCATGCTTATCATCATCAGCACCATCTCCAACTCCAACATCACCATCTTCATCATCATCATCACCAATGTCACCATCTTCATCATCATCATCATCTCCAACATCACCAATGTCACCATCATCATCATCATCTCCAACATCACCATCATCATCATCATCCTCTCCAACATCACCATCATCATCATCACCATATCCAACGTCACCATCATTTTCATAATCATCATCAAAATGTCCAACGTCACCATAACCATCATCATCATCATAATCATCTGCAACATCACCAATGTCACCATCATCATCATCATCTCCAACATCACCATCATCATCTTCATCATCATCGCCATATCCAACGTCACCATCATCACCATCTCCAATGTCACCATCATCATCACCATCTCCAATGTCACCATCACCATCTTCATCATCATAATCATCATCATCATCAATAAGATGGTCAGCCTATCATGATTAGCAACACCAACACCAACCCTGACCATTATCATTAATTATCCATCATTATCAAGTCTCAAGTTTGAAAAAATTGATCTAAACATCAGTCATACCTTTTCAAAAATTATATTAATAACCTCTTCTAGTCTTTCAGGAGTATCAATTTCCAGATCTAGGACTTGTTGAATCAGAGTACTGAACTTCTGTGGAGTGAGTTTATTGAGGATTCCACGGAATTTACGAATGATTTCCTAGAAAAGAATACCAAATATTCATATTGATTAGAATCTTGTGTAATGTTTAACATTTCTAAAGCTCTATTTTACATGTGCATATGATCAAAATGTGCAAAAGTGTAGTGTTACTATCCTTATTTTTCAGCACTGGAGCAACACCCTAACTTAGTTAAGCCCAAAGGTTGTTTCAGGGCTCTTTCTGTGAGTTAGTCATTACCTAACTTTGATCAGCACAGAGGGCTCTATCTGTAGGTTAGTCATGCCCAGACTTAGATCATCCCAGAGGTTGTGTAAGGGGTCAATCTGTGAGTTAGCCATGCCCTGACTTAGATCATCCCAGAGGTCTATATGTGCCCTAATTAAGAACAGCCCAGGTGTTGTTTCAAAGTTTGGTAAAATTGAAGTTTGTCTGTTTTGTAACCAGCTATTTTGTTCCTTTTTTCTTTCATTTTTCTTGTTTTTGACTCCTTTTTAATGATGTTTGGAATGACAAATTTTATCTTATTTTTTTCATATAGCACAACCTAATCCCTTTTTAGTTTTTTTTTCTTGGGGGGAGGGGGGGGATGGGGGAATTCTCAAATATAAACTTACGTGGTGCTTTTTCTCTTCTTCGCTCAATGTTTTTAAAACTTCTGCTGGACGCAACCATCTATTTTCACTCTTATTAAGCTAAAAGTAAAGAAAGTATCCATACATAAGCATATGAGTCTACTCGAGGTCCACTTGGACACACCCCGGCCAGTAATAATAATAACAGGGTTTGTGCCGAGGTAACCACTTTAAATTCAAGGACTATTCAAGGAGTATTCAAGGAACAAAAAGAAACAATTTCAAGGAGTTGTTCAGCCAACTATGCCATGGTTTTACACAGTGTTTGCACATGGCTGACTTTCCAAGTCATTACCATTTTCATTTTATGCAAGTAACAAGAAACCTGGATTTCAAGGAGTCTTCAAGGAGTTTAAGAGGCTGTCCGCGTAAGAACGGATAAGGCAAAATTTGACCCATCGCCGATTTTCCTGATTTTCTTAGTAAAAGTCCACTATTATATGCAATGAACAATTATCACATTTATTTG